TTTTTTTAAAAAGATTGACAGTCTTGGGAACTCACAGAGGCAGTTCTACCCTGTCCTACCCTGTCCTATCGGGTCTCTGAGTCAGCAATGACTCAGTGACGGTGAGTTTGGTTTGGGGTTAATACTGTAGGGAAGGATTTGCTCAGAATCTAATAACTAAAGAACTGAAGAAAAATTCAAGTATCCAATTGAAACACTGAAGGATTCTATGACCAAAATATTGGGAGAATCAATGAAAATGGAACTATACAAAAGAACTAGGTGATACCCAATCATTTCAGGAGGTAGCATATGATTGAGAACCAATGATATCCAACAAAGAAATCTAAGTTACACTGAAGGAATTGGTAAAACAAACAAAGAACCATGGCTCTAAGGATTAATGGAATATCATTTGAAATATTTTCATAGATGAATGTAACGTTGCAGTTTCTTACTTGTCAATACCAATTTTGGAAGACAACTATCTGTCCACCTGACTGGTAGAGATACAAACGTGTGCCCATCTCGAAGAAAAGTGACTCAAGAGGTTGTAGATATTCTCAAACAGTATCATTAATATCACATGCAAGTAAAATTTTACTTAAGAGAATTCACAGGTAGACATCTGCTATTTCTGCTTTCAGCCACGATTCAGCTAACACTACCAGTGATAGCCTTCATTTCACATTGTCTTCTAAATCTGGCTTGACTTTCTGGCAGTTCCTTTTTGATGTACTACGGTGACCATTTTTTAATTATCTTCAGCATAATTTTATTCTTCCAGTCAGTTGGCCAGGGGGCTATCCCCCCAATTTTTGGCATGTGATAACATCCAACATTTCACTGATTATATAAAGGCATTTAACTATAGATCGTAGCAAGCGAAGGAAAACATTGCAAAGAATTGGAATGTCAGAATCCTTAATAATGCTCATGCAGAAACTATACATAGACCAAGGGGCTGTCATTCAAACAGAATAAACAGTTCGTTTAAAATCAGGAAAGGTATGTTGTATCCTTTCACCATACTTGTTCAGTCTATATGCTGAGCAAAGAATCTTCAAAGCTGGACCTTATAAAGAATAAGTAGCATCAAGATTGGAGATAAATTCATTAACAAACTGTGATATGCAGATGACACATCCTTTTTTGCTGAAAGTGAAGCACTTATCAAAGTAAATCAAAGATTATAGCTGTCAGTATGGATTACGCTTCAACATAAAGAGAAAATAACTTCACAGTTGACTCAAGAAGCAAAGCCATGATATGTGGAATAAAGGTTAAGGTCAAGAATTTCATTTTACCTGGATCCAAACATAAAGTCATGGAAGCAGCAGCCAAGACATCAAATGACATATTACATTGCGAAAAACTGCTGCAAAAGACTTCTTTAAAGTGTTAAAAAAAAAAGAAGTCACTTTTAGTAGTAATGTTGAAATGAACCAACATACAGTGTTTTCAATAGCCTCATCTGCATGTAAAATTTGGGCAATGAATAAGGAACACCAAACAGAGTAGATGCCTTTGAATTATGGTGTTGACAAAGAATGTAGAACATACCATGATTTGATAGAAGAATGGATAGATCTATTTTGAAAGACTACCACTTGTTCGTTAGTTTAAACTGTGGTGACTTGTTGCTTTCATGCTGATGGGTACATCACTGGAATTTCAAATACCAGCAGGGTCACCCAAAGTTAATAGACTTCACCAGAGCTTCCAGACTAAGAAGAAACTACAAAGAAGGAATTAGATGCCCACTTAGGAGGAATTAGTCGCTGAAAACCCTATAAATAATATCAAAATATTGTCCTTTACTGGCAACCTAATAAATGGAAGCAGAAAGTTGTCACATAGAGTGCCAGAAGTTGAGCCCCTCAGATTGGAAGGCACTCAACATATGACTGAGGAAGAACTGCCTTCTCAAAGTAGGGTTGACCATAATGTCATGTGTGGAGTAAAGCCTTTGGGAACTTCATTGCTGATGGAGAATGTCTCATAATGAGAGGAAACAGCTGCAAGTATCAATTAATAATTAGAACTGTATGAAGTATGATTCTAAGCAAACTGGTAGTGATTAAAAATTAAGTAGAATGCATAAAGATCAATATTCTGGGTGTCATTGAGCTGAGATGGACTGGTGTTGGTCATCTTGAATCAGGAAACCATAGATTTAATATGCAGGGAATGACATAATCAAGTGGAATGGTGTGGCATTCACTGTCAGAAAGGATGTTTGAAGATCTATCTTAAAGTACAATGCTTTGTATGATCGGAAATGTCCATTAGAATTCAAGGAAATGCAATCAATACAAATATCATTCGATTTTATACACCAACAACTAAAGCTAGTGATTCTACCAGGCTACAGTTAGAAATGTATCATGCAGGCAATCAAGATGCATTTATAATTATTTTCTACTGGAATGAAAAATTTGGAAACAGGGAGGATTAATAGTTGGAAACTATGGTCCTGGTGACAGAAATGAAGCTGGCGAGTCCGTGGTAGAATTTTGCAAGACCAACGACTTTTTTCATTGCAAATACCTTTTCCAACAACACACAAAAAAACCTGTAAAATGTGCACTTTTCCAGATGGAATGCACAGAAAATAAATTGTCTCCATCTGTGGGAAGAGACCATGGAGACGGTAAATATCAGCAGTAATAAGCAAGCCTGGGGCCAGCTGTTGAACAACAGTTTCAGGTTAAAGCTGGATAAAATTAAAATAAGTCCACAAGAGCCAAACTAAGACTTTGAGGATATCTCACCTTAATTTTGAGAACAGTTCGAGAACAAATTTGATGCGTCAAACACTTTTGAGCAGAAGACCTGATGAGCTGTAAGGACATCAAGAACAATATTCACAAAGAAAGTAAAAGATCATTTAAAAAATAAGAAAGAAAGAGAAGGGCACAGTGGGTGTCAAAAGAGACTGAAACTTCCTCTTAATCATAGAGTAGCTAAGGCACTTGGAAGAAATGATGAAGTCAAAGAGCTGAACAGAAAATTTCAAAAGCAGCTCAAGAATACAAAGTCAAGTATTTATAATGAAATGGACAAAGACTTACAGTTAGAAACAAAAACAAAAACAAAAAACAGAAAAACCATTCAGTATATTTTCACTGAAATAAAATCAAGCCTTGAGTTGCAATCTCGAAAGATTCTGGAGGCAAAATAGTGAATAATGCAAAAAGGATCAAAAGAAGATAGAAAAGTATATAATCACTATACCTAAAAGAATCAGTTGACATTCCACCATTTCAAGAGGGAGCATATGAGCAAGAACCAGTGGTGCTAAAGGAAGACTCCAGGCATCACTGAAAGTATTAGCCAAAAACAAGGCTCCGGAAATTGATGGAATATCAATTGAAATGTTTCAACAAGCAGATGAAGCACTGGAAGCCGTCACTCACTATGCCAGGAAATTTAGAAGACAATTCTTTCTAAGAAGATAGTTTCTTGGCCAACTGACCATTCCAAAGAAAGGTGACGCAACAAAATGCTCAAATTTTAGAATGATATTACTGATATCACATGCAAGTAAAATTTTGCTGAAGATGATCCAAGAAGAGTTACAGAAGTACACTGACAGAGGTTCAGGCCAGATTAAGAAGAGGACATAGAACAAGGGATACCATTGCTGATGTCAGATGGTTCTTGGCTGAAAGCAGACACTATGACAAAGATGTTTACTTGTGTTTCATTGACTGTGTAAAGGCATTTGACTGTGTGGATCATAAAAAAAAACTATAGATAGCTTGAGAAAAATGAGAATTCCAGAATATCTCATTGTGTTTCTGTGGAACCTGTACATGAATCTGTTATGCAAACAGATCAAGGAAATATTGCATGGTTTAAAAGCAGGAAAGGCGTGGGTCAGGGTTGTATTCTCTCAGCATACTTATTCAATCTGCATGCTGAGCAAATCATCAGGGAACCTGGATTATGTGAAAAAGAAGGCAATCTCAGCATTTCAAATAGCAAATTGTGATATGCAAATTGGAAATTGTGATATGCAAATGAAACATCCTTGCTTGCTACAAGTGAGGAGCACTTGAAGCACATGCTTATGAAGA